TGATGATTCGCTCCATACTGTAAATCTAAGTTGAGCCTCGTTCTACAGAATGGAACCTAAAACTCTGCGAAAAGCATGAAAACAAGAGAGTTATTAACGATCAAACACTGTTTACATTTTAGGGACACCCTGTATTATACATTGTAGATGCAACCTTACCACTTAGGCCGGAAAAACATTTTTTTCGAATTTCATCCGAACCAATAATGTTGATGTTCTGAGGAGCAGAAGGGTGACGCGTTCCCGAAGAAATTTTTTTTTCAAGCTACAGATTCGCAAAAACATAGCTTGATTGATTTCAAAAAAGTCACTGCACGTTTTTATAACTCGTGGTCTGGTACGGCTCACCGCCTAGATACGCCATCAATATTAGGTCGATTAGATCTATAGTAAGACGGTGATATTCCCACTCGTTTGCCAAAACAAAAAACTTCCCTCCTCCTTCTTCTCATTTTCGAAAAAGCTACTGTGCTTTGGAGTACTACAAGAGATATTGCTTCCTCCCTTGTACCAAATTTGGTCAAAGCTTCACAGGATGAAGAGTCAACCTCTGGCCACGTGTAAAAAAACTGACATGTCATCTACATGTTTAACAGGTTTCTCAGCCTAGCTATCAATGTAAGTTTAATATGTTTTGATACAACAATGACCCCATCCTTAGTCAACAGTTTCAAGGATGAGCTTAATATTTTGGAGATGACACTCGGTTCAATAAACATTGGGTGTTATTAAAACAGAAAAATGGGCTGTCGTTCTATCAGCTAGATGACGAAACAATCGGATCCGGATATTTCAAGCCATCATTTATACTCTTTCGCGGCTAAATTCACATGGCGAAAACAACGTCAAGAACGGACTTCTTCACATCATTGAGAAAGCTATAAGACGTAGTAATAAACGATGAAAAATGTTTTTTTTTTCAAAAGAGCCCTGAGCAACTTTTGAGTCGTCTGAAATGCTCTCTCACCTCATCGAAGATGTTTTTGAAAAAAAACAAAACTGGCTCCAAACATGTTAGATTTTACTTGACATGTGGCAAGGAGACAGTCCTCACAAGATCTAAGAAAAAATTCTTTAGGTTGCAGCACTATTACATGAGAATAAAAATTGGGTCGGAAAAGTTGAGGAACCGGAAAAGTTCCAATTCTGATCATACTCAGTGTAGTCACATTCTTTGCACTCATTTATGCCAAAATATAGAGTTTTTACAGCATTATTCCAACGAAGCATGGACGGACATGAAGTCTTTGGTGCTGCGAAGTCCTCGCGCCGTCAATATTCGCAGAGGAAAGAATGTGCTAAGAAGAAATATTTATTATCAAACTTCCGGCAATGCACAGCAATATGCACCTTATGCTTTGCCTGAAGGCGAGGTGTCTTCGGACATATGTAGTGAGTCTACGTATAAATCGCAATTTGACTGGAAGTTCTGCTAAATGTTTGAGACTGTGGTCCTCAGCCAAGCGCATGCCCATCTGGACCACCTGGGCCACCTGGACAACGAGGATTGGACGGAGGTTGGTCGATAAACAGGAACGATGTTATGACTGCTCTTCTTTTTCCAGCTGTTAATCCAAGACTGGTAAAATCTTCT